TTGTGGTGTTTTATTCATATTTTAACCCATACTTACTCACAAGGGGGGGTGCAGGATCTTTGGCCCCCCATGATAAAGGAGGTTTCCGGATTCCGATAAGTCACCCCCACAACCACAACCCAGCGTTGTAGGGAAGAGGCCCTTGTCCTCATCAACAAGGGTACAAGTTGCTTTGGGGGGGTCCTCCTACCCCAAAGCAAACACCCCCCATGTTGAAGACATGTGGCCTGGTGCAGTTTAGGAAGGGAGGGCGCTCACTGTGCTCGGATCAAGGGTCTTGTAGGAATTTGTGGGGGACCCTTAAAAGTTCCGAAGGGCCTGGTAGGGCTTTTAGGGGGAACTACACATACTTTTTTTTTAATTTTTTATTTTGGGGTCCCTCCTAACTTTCCTACCAGACATAAAGGGTAGATTGGGGCGGGAGGGCACGCTGTTGTTTTTTAGAATATGTGGAGAGAAAGAGGTATTAACCCTGGATTTTTAAGGTGCCTCAAAAAGTATCACACAAGTCACTACTATAAAATATGGGCAGTGTAAACCCTCCCTTGTAATCTTTATTCGTACACAAACAATAAAAACAAGGCAATTAAAAGAGCTCAACACAGGAGCAACAATTGATCATACACAACGGCTTGATCCTACATTGTATTGTACTAGTACTGAAGTATTGACTTCAATCAGATTCAGCTGTAGATAATGGTTGTTCCTCTACATGTTTCTCAGGATATTATACCTGCTGACTACAGATAAAGCAACAAAAGACAATAAACACTGCTCAAAAAAATTAAATGAACACTTTTTAATGTATAGCATCAAGTCAATGAAACTTCTGGGATATTGATCTGGTCAGTGAAGTAGCAGAGGGAGCTGCTAATCAGTTTCAGCTGCTTTGGTGTTAATGAAATTAACAACAGGTGAACTAGATGGGCAACAATGAGACAACCCCCAAAACAGGAATGGATTTACAGGTGGAGGCCACTGACATTCTCTTCCCTACTCAACTTGTCGGACTGTTTTTCATTTGGCTAGGGTCAGTGTCACTACTGGTAGCATGAGGCCATACCTGGACCCTACAGAGTCCAACTCCTCCAGTATGGCACATCAATACGTGCCATTGCCAGAAGGTTTGCTGTGTCTCCCAGAACAGTCTTAAGAGCATGGAGGAGATTCCAGGAGACAGGAAGTTATTCTAGGAGAGCTGGACAGGGCTGTAGAAGGTCCTTAACCCATCCGTCGGACCGGTATCTGCTCGGCACAGGATGAGCACTGCCAGAGCCCTACAAAATGACCTCCAGCAGGCCACTGTTGTGAATATCTCTGACCAAACAATTAGAAACAGACTTCATGAGGGTGGCTTGAGGGCCCAACATCCTCTAGTGGGCCCTGTGCTCACTGCCTGGCACCATAGAGCTCAATTGGCATTTGCCATTGAACACCAGAATTGGCAGGTCCGCCATTTTGGTGGTGGGTCAGTGATGGTCTGGGGGGGCATATCCATGGAGGTACGCACAGACCTCTACAAGCTAGACCAGGGGTGGGCAAACTTTTTGACTTGAGGGCCGCAATGGGTTCATATATTGGACCCAAGGGCTGGACCAAGAGTAGATGAATGATGTGTATGTGTCATCCATAGTAAGTATAGTAATTAATCCCCCATATAGTAATTCATCCCCCATATAGTAATTCATTCCCCATATAGTAATTCATCCCCCATATAGTAATTCATCCCCCATAGTAATTCATCCCCCATATAGTAATTCATCCCCCATAGTAATTCATCCCCCATAGTAATTCATCCCCCATATAGTAATTCATCCCCATAGCAATTCATCCCCCATAGTAATTCATCCCCCATATAGTAATTCATCCCCCATAGTAATTCATCCCCCATAGTAATTCATCCCCATATAGTAATTCATCCCCCATAGTAATTCATCCCCCATATAGTAAATCATCCCCCCTATAGTAATTCATCCCCCATATTAATACATCCCCCATATTAAGTCCTCAAGTCCCCCCTGTGTCAATTCACTTACCTTTGCTCCGCCCTCTCGCCCATAGTAATTCATCCCCCATATAGTAATTCATCCCCCATAGTAATTCATCCCCCATAGTAATTCATCCCCCATAGTAATTCACCCCCCATAGTAATTCATCCCCCATATAGTAATTCGTCCCCCATATAGTAATTCATCCCCCATAATAATTCATCCCCCATAGTAATTCATCCCCCATATAGTAATTCATCCCCCATAGTAATTCACCCCCATAGTAATTCATCCCCCATATAGTAATTCATCCCCCATAGTAATTCATCCCCCATAGTAATTAATCCCCCATATAGTAATTAATCCCCCATAGTAATTCATCCCCCATATAGTAATTCATCCCCCATATAGTAATTAATCCCCCATAGTAATTCATCCCCCATAGTAATTCATCCCCCATATAGTAATTCATCCCCCATATAGTAATTCATCCCCCATATAGTAATTAATCCCCCATAGTAATTCATCCCCCATAGTAATTCATCCCCCATATAGTAATTCATCCCCCATATAGTAATTCATCCCCCATAGTAATTCACCCCCCATATAGTAATTCATCCCCCATAGTAATTCATCCCCCATATAGTAATTCATCCCCCCTATAGTAATTCATCCCCCATATTAATTCATCCCCCATATTAAGTCCTCAAGTCCCCCCTGTGTCAATTCACTTACCTTTGCTCCGCGCGTTCCTCTCGCCCATAGTAATTCATCCCCCATATAGTAATTCATCCCCCATAGTAATTCATCCCCCATATAGTAATTCGTCCCCCATATAGTAATTCATCCCCCATAATAATTCACCCCCCATAGTAATTCATCCCCCATATAGTAATTCATCCCCCATAGTAATTCATCCCCCATAATAATTCATCCCCCATATAGTAATTCATCCCCCATAGTAATTCATCCCCCATAGTAATTCATCCCCCATAGTAATTAATCCCCCATATAGTAATTAATCCCCCATAGTAATTCATCCCCCATAGTAATTCATCCCCCATATAGAAATTCATCATCCCCCATATAGTAATTCATCCCCCATAGTAATTCATCCCCCATATAGTAATTCATCCCCCATAGTAATTCATCCCCCATATAGTAATTCATCCCCCCTATAGTAATTCATCCCCCATATTAATTCATCCCCCCCATATTAAGTCCTCAAGTCCCCCCTGTGTCAATTCACTTACCTTTGCTCCGCGCGTTCCTCTCGCCCATAGTAATTCACCCCCCTATATAGTAATTCATCCCCCATAGTAATTCATCCCCCATAGTAATTCATCCCCCATATAGTAATTCGTCCCCCATATAGTAATTCATCCCCCATAATAATTCATCCATCCCCCATAGTAATTCATCCCCCATATAGTAATTCATCCCCCATAGTAATTCATCCCCCATAGTAATTCATCCCCCATATAGTAATTCATCCCCCATAGTAATTCATCCCCCATAGTAATTAATCCCCCATATAGTAATTAATCCCCCAGTAATTCATCCCCCATAGTAATTCATCCCCCATATAGTAATTAATCCCCCATAGTAATTCATCCCCCATATAGTAATTCATCCCCCCTATAGTAATTCATCCCCCATATTAATTCATCCCCCATATTAAGTCCTCAAGTCCCCCCTGTGTCAATTCACTTACCTTTGCTCCGCGCATTCCTCTCGCCGTGTTCCCGCGCCGTTCCGGTATAGCATGAAAATCTGTCTCCTATGAGGATCTGTCCCCCTCGACGTATCTGCGCATGTGCCAGTTTCAGACATTAGCAGCCGATCGGCGATCTCCGGCACATGCGCAGATACGTCGAGGGGGACAGATCCTCATAGGAGACAGATTTTCATGCTACACCGGTCTTCAGGGCGGACTGTGAGAGGAGCCTAGCAGGAACCTAGCTCCGCGGGCCGGATTAAAAGGTCCGCCGGGCCGTATACGGCCCGCGGGCCGTAGTATGCCCATTGCTGGGCTAGACAATGGCACCCTGACTGCCATTAGGTATCGGGATGAAATCCTTGGACCCATTGTCAGACCCTACACTGGTGCAGTGGGTCCTGGGTTCCTCCTGGTGCAAGACAGTGCCTGAACTTATGTAGCAAGAGTATGCAGGCAGTTCCTGGAAGATGAAGGAATTGATACCATTGAATGGTCCCCACACTTGCCCGACCTACGGTAGGTCCAATAGAACACCTCTGGGATGTCATGTCTCAGTCCATCCGATGTCGCCAGGTTGCACCTCAGACTGTCCAGGAGCTCAGTGATGCCCTGGTCCAGATCTGGGACGAAATACCCCAGGACACCATGGGGTTTATTTACTAAAGCTGGAGAGTCCAAAATCAGACTCCCTTCTGCATAGAAACCAATCAGCTTCTAACCTCAGCTTGTTCAGTGAAGCTTTGGCAATGAAACCTGGAAGCTGATTGGTTTCTATGCAGAAGGGAGTCTGATTTTGGACTCTCCAGCTTTAGTAAATAAACCACCATCCGTCGTCTCATTAGGAGCATGCTCCGACGTTGTCAGGCATACATACAGTACAAGCACGTGGGGGCAATATAAACTATTGAGTACCATTCTGAGTTGCTGCAATGAAATATCAGCAAAATGGACTAGCCTGCTGCATCATTTTGTCACTTTGATTTTCGGGTGTCCTCTGTAGGCTGATCATTTTCATTTCCATCAAACGATGGGGCATCCTTACACTTCTAACACATTACCCCGTCCATATAAGTATAGATATTCAGCAGGAGATTTTTCCCCATTGAGATCTGATGTGTTTTCAAAGTGTTCCTTTAATTTTTTTGAGCAGTGTATTTATGCATATAGTACACCATGCTCACCTAAATGTTGAACTAGGACCACGTATACAGCTATGGCTTCCATAAATCCAAAAATTTCTGTTCAACTTTAAAAGGAATAGTCAAATAATTAAAGTGTACTAAACCCAAAACCCTGCATTCACTATATCGGTCTCCCCGGACCCTGCATTCACTATATCCCGGGTCTCCCCAGATCCTGCATTCACTATATCTGGTCTCCCCAGATCCTGCATTCACTATATCTGGTCTCCCCAGACCCTGCATTCACTATATCTGGTCTCCCTGGACCCTGCATTCACTATATCTGGTCTCCCTGGACCCTGCATTCACTATATCTGGTCTCCCTGGACCCTGCATTCACTATATCTGGTCTCCCCGGACCCTGCATTCACTATATCTGGTCTCCCCAGACCCTGCATTCACTATATCTGGTCTCCCCGGACCCCTAATTTACTATATCTGCTCTCCCCGGACCCTGCATTCACTATATCCGGTCTCCCCGGACCCTGCATTCATTATATCAGGTCTCCCTGGACCCCACATTCACTATATCTGGTCTCCCTGCACCCTGCATTCACTATATCCGGTCTCCCCGGACCCTGCATTCACTATATCTGGTCTCCCCGGACCCTGCATTCACTATATCCGGTCTCCCCGGACCCTGCATTCACTATATCTGGTCTCCCAGGACCCTGCATTCACTATATCAGGTCTCCCTGGACCCCACATTCACTATATCTGGTCTCCCCGGACCCTGCATTCACTATATCTGGTCTCCCACAGTACACAGAACATAGAAATGCAATGATTTCAGTACATATAAACTGCTAAATACCCTTTCTTATCAGCAGTATATAGCAGTCTTGTTATTTCTATCTTGTGATTTGTCTCCAGCAGAGCACATGTTAAAGCTTGTAGGAGAAGTTTTCATGTTGCTCTAGGAGGATGCAAAACTCTTGACCTCTGTCTGGACAGTGCTGATTGGCCCTGTGTTGATTTCATGCACTCTCTCAAGAAATAAAAAATCTCTAGCAATACAGACCAAGCTGAGCATGTGCAAAGTGACACCACATGATATGTCTTACCAGGAGATAAGAGTGGGACACTGGAAGAAGAAGAGGATAAGAGAAGACAGGATCAAACAGCGATTTTACATAATGCATAGAATTAAACCCTTACAGACTGATTTTACTGTTGTGGGTTTAGTAACACTTTAAGCAGTGCTTAGCCCTAATGGTAACATGAGTGTGAGGTATTCCAGGGAAGAATGATGTAAAATAATTTCTTATTAAGCTGGGTAGATAAGATGGATTCCCCAGATGTTGTTTTTTTTTGGTTTTTTTATAAAAATGTCCTTTTATTTTTGTCCTAAAAAAAATAAAAAAGCATCAGGTTCTATACATTGCATAGATGTGCAACTTTGCAGATAGTTTAAGGGGACCCCCCAGGCATGATATTTAAATTTATTTTAAATGTTTCTTTTTTTTTTTTTTCTACTTAAGCAATGAAAAATGACTGCACCTTTAAAAAGTTTACTTTTTGAATATTTTGTTTTCACTAATTCATGGCCCTCAGGGCAGTACCTGAGTCCCTATACCCCTTTTATGACTAATAGCTTGCATATAAGCCTTCAAAATGGGCACTTTTTGAATTTACAAGTGTGAGTCCCATAGGCTTGCATTATAGTTTGAAGCAGGGGCGGACTGACAACTCATGGGGCCCCCGGGCAATAGGGGATCATGGGGCCCCTGTGTCCTTGCCCAAACTCAAAAAAGCCTATGAAAAAGGTACCAGGGGCATCTCATGGGGCCCCCTACTGACCCCGGGCCCTCGGGCAGCGCCCGAGTTTCCAAATGGTCAGTCAGCCCCTGGTTCGAAGTTTGCAGTTGAACTTTTGTTAGGTTCAAATGTTCAACCTCAAACCGAACAGGGGGTGTTCAGGCCATCACTAGTGAAAGACAACAATTCTTTTGAAAAACACTGTGTGGTATCTTACTTGGATGCAGTAAGATACCACTTTGTGAATTGTCCCCATAACACTCAGGTTTGTCTAGCACTTTTATTCAGCAAGTCGGCAAATACAGTTTCATTACAAATTGCTTTGCATAGCAAGTCCATGGCATAAAACAAATAAAATATGTGCTCCTTCAAGTCAATAACTAAATGCATATCAGTTCCTGACTAGCAGGGTAACATTTTTAGCAAAGAATGAGCCATGAGCAGAACTCAGAACAAAAAAGAAAAAGTTTGTTTTCTCCACATCCAGCCAGAAATCTTGGAGCCCCTCACCTTCTGCCGGTGCAACACCTGGGTGACACATACACACCATGCACAATCCTGCCAACCAGTTCCAGCAGTTAAAAAGGCAAACATTGAACCTTCATTCCAACATATCATAGGGATTAAGGTGATATACCTGAGTAAAACACAAAGAAAATTTGCCTTTTTAATTATCCACTCAACAAATATATGAATAGATGCATTGATGTACTGCAGGAAAAATAAGAACACCCTGTTTAGTATGATTCTGAGAAAACAAAAAAGTTTGTTTTTTCCATAACAGTCATAACCCTAAGGCTCCTTTGGGTTGCAATGCCTATTTTGGTGATTTTTATAGCTTCAATATACTGTATAGAAAAATAGGTTTAGCTACAATCTATAATTTATAAGTTGAACTTCATCTCTTCAAATGCTAATTAACTTGTTTAACTGGTTCATAAGGGATAGTTAAACAGGAAGCAATGTTGGCAGGACAGGGCAATAGATACAGTCCTCCTGTACAGGGCCCAGGCCAGCAGGGGGGCCCAGGCAGCTGGGTGAATCAGATGTTGGCAGGGAGGGTGAGAAGCACGGCGAGGGGGCAATTACTGGAACCAATCTCTTGTTTGGCTCTCTCTGCAGCAGTTGTAAGCTGATTTCTCCACTCAACAACCAACCCCCACCCTCCCCCACTGGCTTTCAGCTGTTGCAGAGAGAGATATACAAGGGATCGGTTCCAGTAATTGCCCCCCCCCCCCCCCCCAGTGCACCCATCACCCTCCCTGTGCACCATACATTTCCCCCTATTTCCCAGGCCCCCACCCCCGCAATGTTGCCATCTTCCCTCCTCTCCTTCCCACCAGCAGCTGCAAGCACACAGTAGGATCCTTCAGTATGGAGAGTGGGAGAATGGTCTGGTAAATATATCACATTTACCAGCCCTCTCCTGAAGGAACACAATGATCGATCAGTACAGATCACTCAGTGTGTTCATTCATAACTGAAGCCTAGTAAACTGAGTTTTTTGTGGGAATGGGGGGGGCCTGTTAGATTGGCTGTATGGGGCCCCATGGTTTGGGGGTTCTGTCAGATTGGTTGTAAGGGGCCCCATGGTTTCTAACTATGGCCCTGTGGCAGGTAATGATGGGAGACAAGAAATGAGATCACAAAACCATGTGCTGAACATAATGGAGGAGTGTTGAAGAAGACCTGGGTAGAAGGAAGGAGGCTAAAAAAGAAGAAGACCTGGGTAGAAGGAAGGAGGCTAAAAAAAGAAGAAGACCTGGGTAGAAGGAAGGAGGCTAAAAAAGAAGAAGACCTAGGTAGAAAGAAGGAGGCTAAAAAAGAAGAAGACCTAGGTAGAAAGAAGGAGGCTAAAAAAGAAGAAGACCTAGGTAGAAGGAAGGAGGCTAAATAAGAAGAAGACCTGGGTAGAAAGAAGGTCTGTGCTAAAGGGAACTTCACAAGACCAAAGAAGGAACTTTATCTGTGGATGACACTACAAGAGCACTGGTTTCCTGCAATCCATTGAGTCTTTGTTGTTACAGAAATCAAAAACTATAACCCAAGCTAGTAACTGTTTAGTGTGTGCCTATTGCATGCAGACCATTGCCAAAGCTCATTTGCTAGGAAGGATAGGTATCAGGTGCCTTTGTGTTGTATGCCTATTTGTAATACTCAGCAAATCTTGTATTGTTTTCCTTTAATTGTAAGTGGTTTGTATGTACAGTATTCTTGTTTGATAAAAGCACCTTAATATACTACAAGGGTTTCTGCTTCCTTGCTTTACAGTAAAGAGGCCTAAAAGATACAAACAATACACCTTCGTTATGTGTATGTGAGACACCTACAGTAGATGAAACCTAGATAACACATACACACCATCCACAATCCTGTCAGCCAGTACCTCATATACCCTCCTTCTCTGCTCAGACCTGTAGGAAGAAGCACATTTTTGCCAACATACATTGGGCACATGGCAGTCCATCAGCAATCCATTGCTGAATCCCTGTCCTGTGTTATACCTAAAATGTTTAGTCATGCAGAGCCAGAAACCATCCAGTGGCTCATGCATTGCTCCCTATGTTTCAAGCCATCCCCTGTAGAGGAAAATGTTCTTTTAATAAACTTGACCTGGCTGTCCAAAAGATAATACCTTAATGACTCCAGTGCCCACTTTATGGCCAGACATTCTCTCTATTGAATAGCTCCTCCCTGCAAGGATCTGCAACTTATTATTATTATTATACAGTATTTATAAAGCGCCAATAGTTCGCTCAGCGCTGTACATTACAAAGAGGGACAGAACATGTGACAGAACAATACCAATACAATGCAAAAACATGAGGGGATTGAGGGCCCTGCTCTTTCGAGCTCACAATCCAGGAGGGAGGGGATAGGGGAACAGGAGGAGATAGCTGTGGGGGATGGAGTGGTAGGAAGAGTGGAGGAGGTTGGCAAGTTAGCAGGGGGTGGGGTAGGCTTCCCTGAAGAGATGGGTTTTCAGGGTGCGCCTAAAGGAGAGGAGAGCAGGTTATAATCTGATGGGTTGGGGCAGGGAGTTCCAGAGGATGGGTGACACCCTGGAGAAGTCCTGGAGGTGGGCATGGGAGGAGGAGACCAGGGAACTAGAGAGAAGGAGGTCTTGTGAGGAGCGGAGTGTGTGTGTGTTGGGTGGTACTTAGATATTAGGTCGGTGATGTAGTTCGGGGCAGTATGGTGGACGGCTTTGTACGTCAGTGTTAGGATTTTGAATTTGATCCGTTGCGCAATTGGAAGCCAGTGGAGGGATTGCAGAGGGGGGTGGTGGAGATGGAGCGGTTGGAAAGGTGAATGAGTCTGGCAGCCATATTCAGGATCGACTGAAGCGGGGATAGCCAGCGGCGACGCAGGCCAGTGAGGCACGCCAGTGAGGCAGGCCAGTGATGATGTTTTTCCCATTTATCAGAGGCATCAGTTTCTACGAGAAATGTTTGACTAAATCGAGGGCTTGTTAACACTGGTTCTATGCACAATACCACTTTCAGCTCTTGAGAAGCTATCTCTGTCTCTTCATTTTGTTTTACCATGGTGGACTTGACCCCTTTGGTGAGATTCATAAGTGTAGCTGCTATAGTAGCAAAGTTAGGCACAAACCCTCTTTGGTATCCTAAAATCCCTAGAAAGGCTCTAACCTAAGTTTTTTTACACTTGCTGAAGCCAACTTTTAATTGGTTCATTCTTGTCCATTAGAAGTTTTAATGACCCCCACTGCCCAATGTTGTTACTCAGGCTTATTGTGCAATGTTTTTGTATGACTTTCATTCCAGCAACCGCTGACCCTTTGATGTTCTGGTTGCAGGCAAGGCAGTTAGGCACTTTAATCTTCACATCACCAGGTGATCTGAAGCAAAGCTCTCCTATTCCCATACCCCAGGTGGTATGTGTGAATCCTTTATTCCAGATTAGGAATTCTGATACACACTCTTCTGTTATACACACCCTGCTGGGTAATCTTGTTCTGCTGACATTCCAAGACTACACCCAGCAGTGTCCAGATGGGTTAGTTATAACCCGACCTCGACAGTCCAGAAATTTCTGATATTAAAAACATGTTGCACCTTTCAACACATGGTAAAAAAAAATAACGTTGTTGAGGCTCTAAGGAACCTATGGA